GCAGCTGTATTGTAGTGGGTGTGGTTGAGGATCAATAGTTAATAGTAATGAAGAGGTTGGGTTGTGATCCCACCGTTTTTGTGGTGCCAGAAACAGGGGGGTGCCAGGAAGTGGGTATGTTGACTTATTGCCCGAATTGGTGCGTATACTTGGTGTGTCGCTCTCCTCGTGTCCCCTGATTCTTGCTGTCTTTATGGGAAAGGCAGTGGGCAATATACTTACTGCCCTTCAAATAAACTCGTTGCTTTTTGTTGGTTTCACACCGCTTCGCGGTTGATTAGAAGACATGAATGGAGACCCGTTCGCTCATGCATTGGCCAAGACATACTAGCAATTGATCCGTCCGAGTCTTTCAGCTGAGTCTGTATGAATTATGTGACCATGATGATCTTGAAGTCCCCAGGTACAAGGTAGTCCAACCCGAAGAAATCTCTACTTCCACTCAATACCAGAAAGGCGCTGACGAATATAAGTCGGCAAAACGACTATGATGTGGTTACGTTGGACCGGCGAGGCATGTGGCTCGTGCGGCAACAGGCCTTTCTACGCACGCAATGTATGTACAGAGCGCACGTGAGTTACGGTGCAACGACGCCTCTTTTTGGATGGTCTAGTTCGTGGAAAGACGGCTTACCTGCTGACAAGGACGCTGGGGATTGCTCAGCATTACAGCAAGATCCGTTCTGCGCTACAGGCTGGCCCAAACACTTTCCTACCACTTTCCAGCCTTCGAAAGACTGAATGCACACCTTATCAACCACACCAACCAAGGACATCATGAGCCGAACAAGAGATGCCGAGGATTTGGCCAAGTTTCTGCGGAAGAACGTGCTGATAGAGAACAAGGACACGCTGAGGCGGCAGAGCAACGAACCCAGCCTACTTCACTCAACGAACACATCCCTGCCTATCATTCCCTGGCTTCTGCCAAATTCACCGTCGAAACAGACCGTAGACTGACTTCTAAGGGCTCCATCACAAATCCGCGGAACAGGTTGTGTCTCGCCAGTCTCCGCCCATAGCTCGACTTCGCGCCAACTGAGCATCGCCTTCGGCACCCCCTACTATACTCCCTCGCCGACCGACGCTGTTTCGGAAGCATATCGTTCCTGTCCGGCCGAGAAAGCAGGATCGCGAAGCGCAAGACCACTGACGAGAAAGCCGTCGAGGGCCTCGTCAAAACAATCATGGATGAGCTCAAGAAGGCAAAAGAAGTCCAAAGTGCGGTCGATTTAGTCAACGGACTTGTCTTCGAGAACCACCCGCATGCGCTCGGCGACGCAGCGGCGGAGGTCGTCGAACGCGAATCCCATCGACACCTCCCTCCACAACGCACAATGACATGTCGATCTCCAATAGTTACGGGCCGTTAGATTTGCATCTGCCGTATCGAAGACGATGACGACTCGAGCAGCTCTTCGATGCTCTATATTCCCGAGTATAGATCACTGCGTCAACTTCCTGCGCAGCACCTGCGCAGCACCTGTGCTCGATGAATACACACGAGGAAGTGGTAGACCGGAAGACAATATCAACATCAATTGACCCAGACGCGCGGTTTCAGTATCACGCGGAGAGGCTCACCGCAGCCCCATCACATGCAGACCTGTCACTAATGATCGAAGGCTTGCTCGAGCACGGTCTATTGACGACGGGTGAGGCGATCGTGTTCGTGAGGCTTGACTGGCGCGAGTCCGAGACGCTTTCCTTTCATTTGGCGGAGCCTTCTGCGGAGGTGGAAGCCCACTTCAAGCATGCCGACCTCCGTACGGCAGTTGCTCAATACTTGACCTTTGGTTTGATTGCTCTCGGCGTACCAGGTGAGAGGCATGGATGCCGCCATCCCCCATAGCATGAGCAACTCAGCACAATTGTACGGTACGAAACGCCCCCTCCCGCAAACAGCTGAAATACAAGCGTGGATCTTTGGGCGAGTTTTGGCAAGGCTCGACATCGCTTCCTAGAATGCAGGTAGATGGCTTATAAATTCCTGAAGGTGTAAGTGAACCGCTGTCTTCCAAATCGCTCCCTGTCAACTCCAGAGCTCGCCCTTCAACTTTTCCGGAACAGCCTCTTTCGCAACACATGAAGAGTACACTTTAATATTTGACGTCTCTATGGCTTTCTCATGGATCGCAATGCAAAACTTGCCTCCGTTCTCTCGGACGGCCTCGCGTAGTTGTGCCAAAACCGCAGCCAACTTGCGAAGTTCGAGTTGGTGCGTTTCCTCCCAACCCG